GAGAGAGTTGTGGGAAGTGGAGGGTGCTGGGGGAGGGGCACGGAGGTGAGTGGCGGATCATGGAAGAGTTACTAGACAATGGTGAGGACTTAAAATCCACTGTTTGGAGGGTTTTGATCAGGGGGATGATTTGCTCTGACTTATCTTAGAAGGATTAGTCTGGGTGCTATGTTAAAAAATAGAGCAGAAGGGAGAAAATGAAGACGGACCAGTTAGGAGGCTACTACAGTGAGAGAGGACTGTGCTTAGACTCTGGTGAATGTGGTGGATGTGGTGAGAAGACCTCACAGTTGGGGATTTAGTTTGAAGGCAGAGTAAGATGGATTTGCTTTTGGATTGGATAAAGGGAAGTCAAGAATTAAGGATGACTCCTAGGTTTTTTTTCAAATCTGGGCAGAGTGACTGCTAGTCCCATGATCTGAGATGGGGAAGACTGCGAGAATGGAATTGGAGGAAACATCAGTGGTTCAGTTGCTGGGAATCAGAATTATGGACATGGTGCAGTTGTTGGTTAACAGTAAGTTCTAGGGGAAGGTATGACTGGAACATAAGGACAGCTTTTTGGAGACAGAAAGTCAAGGATCTGGGAGGCCCCAGGGTATTGGATGGATCTTTGTACATGGATGTTGAAGTTAGAGAAGTGTAGAAAAATTAGTGGTGGTGGGGGGGAAGTGAGTGAGGTTCAGATGTACCCTCATAATCTTATGATTCACATGATCTGAGGATTTGATCAAAATTGAGGTGAGCTATTTTTTTAAAGATTTATTTACTCCAGAGAGAGAGAGAGAGAGAGAGAGAGAGATAGCAAGCGTGAGAGCATGGGGTGGAAGGGCAGAGGGAGAGAGAGAGAGAACCCCAAGTAGATTCTGCACTGAGCAAGGAGCCTGCCGTAGGGTTCGATTTCACGACCCTGAGATCATGACCTAAGCTGAAACCAAGAGGCAGACGCCTAACCAAGTGTGCCACTCAGGTGCCCTGAGGTGAACCATTTTAAGTAATTTGTCCTTCCTAACATCTGTATATATGACAATAATAAAATTTGTTAATATTTTCTTGGAAGCCGCATGGTGTTTGAGCTGCATTTGAGAAAGTATATAAATACGGCCCTTTATTTGTCCTCATCTAGTACATCATAAAAGCAAACACAGTAGAATTTGAGGGATGATATGGTTTGTTTGACTGCCATTTATCATACAGGAGATAGATATGTAGGTATCAGATTACTTGGTTAATTTTGCAAACTTGGTTATTAGTAACGATGGCACTTTAGTGTATATTGTCTTCTTTTGTTGTAGCTCGGTGCAGTAGTATTTATCTTCATGTTCTAGATGAGGAAACTGACGCAGAGAGGTTGGAGGATTTACCGAGGACACAGCGATATGACGGAGCAGGGGTGTAAACTACCTCTTAGTGTTGGGATACCAAATCCTGTGCCTTCGAAATTCTCACTCCCTGCAAAGTAGAGGATATTGAGGCCAAAGAAGTTAGTATTCACTTCTAAAATAAGTAGATTTAAACTATGGCAGTGTAATTGTGCAGGCTCAGTACCTGTGTTTTAGCTTTTGAAAGAAGGCTTTCTTCTCTAGACTGGGTTGTTGGCTCCTAGTCTCATCACCAAGAACTCTCTTAATGTTTTCATTCTATAGGGTATTCAGGCTTAAATTTTTTTTTTTTTTGCCTGTTAAACAGCATTTATTTGTCAAACTTGTTTTATTAAGTATTTTTTTTTAGAGAACGAGAGCACGAGCAGAGGGAGGAGCAGAGGGAGAGGGAGAAGCAGACTCCCCGCAGAGCAGGGAGCCTGATGCGGGACTCGATCCCAGGACTCTGGGATCATGACCTGAGCCAAAGGCAGACGCTTAACTGACTGAGCCACCCAGGTGTCCCTTTTATTAAGTATTTTTTTTTCACCTTTTTTAAAGTAGGCTCCACAACTAGCGTGAAGCCTACGACGGGGCCTGAATCATGACCCTGAGATCAAGACCTAAGCTGAGGCCAAGGGTCGGATGTTCAACTGACTGAGCCACCCAGGCGCCCCATTAATTAGTGCTTTTAATCGACATGTAATCAGCATGATATAGTATCAGCCAAAAGCAAAGTAACATTGTTTTAGTCAGCCTGTACAACTTGTTTTATGTGATAAAATATGTAATTATTTCAATTACTGAAATATTTGAAGTTTTTGCATACCCTTAGAAGTCTAGGGGACCCCTCCCCACCCCCGATGAAGAACAGTTGTCATAGGGGCGCCTGGGTGGCTCAGTTGGTTAAGCGGCTGCCTTCAGCTCAGGTCATGATCCTGGGGTCCTGGGTTCGAGCCCCACGTCGGGCTCCCTGCTCAGGGGAGAGCCTGCTTCTCCTCTCCCTCTGCCTGCCATTCTGCCTACTTGTGCGCGCTATCTCTCTGTCAAATAAATAAATAAAATCTTAAAAAAAACAAAACAAAACAGTTGTCATAGATCTTGATGAGTAGGATGTAGAAAGCTGTTCACAGTAAAGGTGATGCTTGTTATCATCCTCCCAGCATATGTTTTCCTCGTGATTCTCTGTGAGGAGCACTGTATCCTGTTAGAATAACTGGTCGTATTAACTGATAGCTCTGTACTACTGCATGCCTGTCATGCTCCAGATACTCCCCCACTGGATTTGAGGGTTTCAAAGAGAAAATGCCATTTCGTCCCGGTCTTGGAGAAGCTTATGCTTAGTGTTAAGAGGCAGATAGTGTCGCTGAGTGTAGTGGGACCGCAGAGGAGGGGGTGACGTGAGAGATGGTGGTCAGAGAAACCTCAGCATGGGAGGTCATTCGAGGTCATCTGCTGATTACAGGCTAGGCTGTGGAATCCCTGGGTTTGGTGTTGGATCTCAGTTCTGCTGTTGGAGAATTATATGATTCGGGCAAGTGAAATTCCCTCTGAACTGTATTTCTCTCACCTGTAAAATGAGGCTAATACCTGCCACCTACGGTTGTAAAGATTGACAACGTAAGGACTTGGCAGTGCAGTATCTGGTAGGTACGTAATAGCTGCTCATTAAATCAAAGCTGTGTTGTTACTGGTGTTCCTACTGCTGCAGCTGTGACCCTTACTTTGCTGGGCGGGTTGGGTTAGCTAGATAAAGGGCACAGGGGAAACGGCGTTCTAGAGATGGGAAAGCCTATAGGGAGAGACATGGTGACCAAAGACCGTATTTGGGGAATAAAATAACATATCTGCCTTACAGATTATATTGAGATTAAAATACACGTGAAGCACATAAACATGCAAAAGTATAGTCCCCGTCATGTCCCTTTTCAGATGCAAAAAAAAAAAGTACAGTCATTTTTTAATTCCTCATTACCCCCTGTATAATTCCTTCCTTTTTGAAACATCTTGGTTCTTTTTTTTTAAAGATTTTATTTATTTGTCAGAGAGAATGAGCGGGGGGAGCGGCAGGCAGAGGGAGAAGCAGGCTCCCCGCTGAGCAGGGAGCCCTAGGCGGGACTCGATCCCAGGACCCTGTGATCATGACCTGAGCCAAAGGCAGACACTTAACCGACTGAACCACCCCAGGCCTCCCGGAACATCTTGGTTCTTTTGTGCATCTTTGTATCTCTATTGTTTTCTTCCCTGATTTCTTCTCTACTTCTTGATGTCTTACTTTGAGTGCATCCCCCAGAGTTTAGTTGTCTGTTGTCACTTCTCTTTTCTCTTGGAGAGGTTAGATGCTCTTCTGGCTTCTTCTGCCACTGTTAACAAAGCACTTTTAACTTCATCAGTTGCCCTGACCTCTTTCCTAGGTTCCTCTGAATTGGATCTTACTGGTCTCCTAAAATTTCAACCTGATCCATAATTCTGTTTCATTTGTTTGATTTCTGAAAAAATTAGAAGGGAAATGATCTAGATTAGTCAGATGTTTACATTGCTAAGGAGGGATACTTAAGAAAACAAACTCACCATGTACTACATTTCATACTGGAAAGGACATTTTAAAAGTTTAGAAAGACCATAATATTAGAATTTAAGAATATGTAGCTTTAAAAATTATGTATGAGGACTTCATTATTTTTCTTTTTGCCTCAGACTAATGAAAACATAGTCATACACTGCTTTGGAGTCAACCTTGTACTGTGTTGATATTGATCTGCCTAAAATTTGACTGTGATCCTATTTTTCAGTGCTTAGAATGGCTCACCACTGCCTAGCTGAAAAAAAATCCTCCTTTCTTAGACCTTTATAGTTTAACTCTGGCTCTCCTTTCTAGTCTTTTCCCCTTTCCCATTTCTCTGTTACCAACTTAAAAAAAATTCAGAGAGTTAATGGTGTTTGTGGTTTGGATCTGAGCCAGGTCCAAATCTGGCCCTGTGTGGTCTTGGGCGAGTTACTGCCAGGAGAAGAACAGCCCTTGGCATCCCGGAGCTGTGCTGGTTCCGTCAGCTGGCCTTGATGTTGTGAGCTAGCCTGGCACTTAACGTCTGGGTCTTCCTGGTGTTCCTGGGTTGAACATAAACAATTTCATTGAATATCAGCATCAGACAAGGCTACTCTGTGACCAAAATGGATCAAGACAAAAATAAGAACATGCCATAATCATGTCTTGACCTAGACAAAACATGAACATTGTCCAAGTCACAAAATAGCCAACATCCTTTTCTCCAGGCTATAATGTGAATGATTATTGCTGTTCTACTGGTTACAGCTTTAGCCTCCCTAAAGAGATTTGTTGATATACCCAGGCATAGAATTGTTCCCACTTTCTGACAGTACCCAACTAGAGTGAACCCCTTCTTCTTTGAACTCTTCCAAAAAATCACCTAGCCAATTCCCAAAACCTAAGTAAGTCATTTTTGATATTCTGAGATTCCCCATAGTTTCCCTTGGTGCGTGTTCTTAATAAATTCAACTTGTTCAACTATAGGTATGTTCCTGGTGTGTGGGCAGAGGGCATTGACAGTACAGTTTGAGCCTTTTTTTAATATATGAACTGCGATTAATAACATCTTTTTTTGCAGAGTTATGAAGATTAGATGAGAAAATGTAAAGCACCCAGTGGAGTCCTCTAACTTTGAGCTACTCAACAAAAGCTTGTTTCTTGTCCTCTACTAAAGTAGTCTGATTAGTCATGGTCCCCCAAAGGGCTTGGAAGGACCTTGTTTTAACCCTGTCTCATCCGTGGAGTGCTCTGCTCTCATCCTTCAGGACTCAGTTCAAATACCTTCTTTTCTATGAAACCTTGCATCTCTTCATGAGCTCTTTTATCTCTGAACTTCAGGTATTGTTTTTACCATTGACTTGACTGTTAATTCTACCCTACTTTGTAGCATCTTTGTACTTACCTTCTATTATCTAATTATTTCTTTTTAAAGATTTATTTATTTATTGGAGAGGGGAGAAAGAGAGAGAGACTCAAGCAGACTTCCTGTTGAGCATGGAGCCCTATTTGGTGCTCAGTCTCAAGACTCTGAGATCATGACCTGAGCCGAAACCAAGAGTTGGATGCTCAAACAACTGTGTCCCCCAGATGCCCCCTGTTATTTAATTCTGAATTTTTCATATACTTACGCCTTGTTCAACTAAATTGTTCTTTTAGGATGGGGGCTTTGTTTAAATAAGGACCTTTGAAACCAATTGTTTTATAAGGACTAATTTCTTTGAATTTGTTATAGTATATTGTACTCAGAAAATGCTTAAACATGATTAAAGTAAAACAAAAGGAACAGGATATGTCGTTTTTCACCTCCCCTAAATATGGTGATATTGTGACATTTGCCTAAGTCAGATACTTCACATGAAGGGGCGCAAAATATGCCACCCAAAAATGTACTTTGGCATATTGATTATTTTGAATCAAGGTTACTTAAGAACATCCAGTGCAGGGAGGACCCTCTCAGCCTCCTTTGTCTTCCTGAAAACAGGAAGTAAGTCTGCCATGTGAAACATACCCTCCCTGTACCAGGAGGATAGAAGACATCCCTATCACCAGACAGAAGGAATTTAGGACTGAGAAGGCTGGGTTTAACAAACCTTGTTACTTCTTCAGTGATTTACTACCCCAACTCCAAATCCCTTTGTCTTAGCAATTCTTCAGATGTTTATTGTTTCTTTGTCTGAAAAGATACAGCGTTGCCTGCTTTGGTCCCGTATTTTTATGGGCTCCCCTACATATGAAATTAAATGTGTTTTTCTCCAGGTAATCCGTCTTACATCAGTATGAGTATCAGACCAGCCCAGTATGAAGGGAAGAAAGGAAAAGTTTTCCTCTCCCACAAGAGCTTTTTATATCTTCCTTCCTAGATAACACGATGGTGGGTGAAGAGAAGACATCGCTAAGAAAACGGCTGTCAAAGTCCAGGGAAAATTCGGAGGAAAAGCAAGACCAGAGAAGCCCTTCAAAGGAGTCCCTAGAGACACCTAGTAATGGTGAGGCTTTTAATTTTTTTTTTTTCAGCTATTTAAGTTTTATTAACCTTACTCAGTAAATATGTAGGATGTGGAGTAATTTTTTAGTGAAGATTGCAGAGGACACTGTGGAGGACATGCTTCACTACTGTGGACTCAGGGACCTTGCTGGCAGGGGATGACTTCTTATCTGCTGCCTTGATAACTCCAGGGACCGCCGTTTGTGTCATGTCCTGCACAGCAAAATGGCCTAGACGTGGTACTCAGAGAAGGTCTCCACACACTCATGGCCTTGCTGGGGGCCGTCTGCACAGGGGCCTCAGGGCTTTGGGTTGTCCTCCAGCCTCGTGGCCGAGTGCTGGTCAGTGTTTTCCCTCCGTTCAGGGGATGTGAGCCGTGTGGCAGTCCAGCACTGGGCCGTAGCCAGCGTGGGTCTGCCTGGGGTGGTTGAGGACCATCACCTGTGCCAGAGCCCGGCCAGCCTCCGCAGTCGTTCCTGCTGTCTCCGGCCACTTCTCGGACACATGCTTCATGTCGGAGCCCACATTGTCAACCAGGCGGGGCCTCCGACAGGTGTCGTGGGGCATCTCCACAGACTCGAGCTCAGGTGACATTGGTGGGGATGAAGGTGACCACCATCCCAGGTGCAGAGGCAGCCTCAGGGGCTTGTCGACTGGGTGGGAAGGTAGAGTCCAGAGACTTCCAGCAGAGTCACCCTGGTGACGTTTCATTTGTCCTCTTGACCTTCCAGCCAGGGCACATTGTTGCTGTGCCAGCCTGAGATGGGCACAAAGGCCACGGCGGCCAGGTTGTAGCCGATCTTCTTCAGGCAGTTGCTCACTTCTTAGTGATCTGGAAGTGCATGGCGCTGAGGTAGGCTCGGCAACATCGCTCTCGTTGACGGCCGCCATGAGCTGCAAGCTGCTTCAGGCGCAGCGTGTAGGCCCCAGTGTGTGTTCGCAGGTGTGCCTTTCTTGGAGATGCCAGCTTTGAACTTGAGCATGCTGCCGCCATGATGAGCACAGCACAGTTGGCCTCGGATGTCCAGGGGTCACATTCTTGATGAAGTCCCCGGGGCCTGGGGCATTGATGATGGTGATGGCATGGTGGCTAGTCTGACTTCCATAGGGAGATGGGAGTGGTGATGCCACACTGTCCCTCCACCTTCAGCTTGTCCCGCACCTGGGCATATTTGAAGGAGCCCTTGCTCATCACTCCTGCCTCCTCCTTCAACGTCTCAGTGGTTCTTTCATCAGTGCTCCCCAGCTTGTAGATGAGCTAGATACCTGGCGGGGGTGGACTTGCCAGAGTCCACGTGGCTAAGGACGACGATATTGATAGGGTCTTTGCCCATGCGATAGGTTCATTAGTCAGTGCTCTAAAGAAAAAGCAGCAAACTTGATTCAGAGATCAGTAAGAGCTACAGCAGCTGTGAGAGACTTGTAATTTTTTTTTTTTAAAGATGTTATTTATTTATTTGACAGAGAGAGACACAGTGAGAGAGGGAACACAAGCAGGGGGAGTGGGAGAGGGAGAAGCAGGGAGCCCGATGGGGGGCTCGATCCCAGGACCCTAGGATCATGACCTGAGCCGAAGGCAGACGCTTAATGACTGACAGACCCAGGCGCCCTGAGACTTGTAATATTTTTGAGGTGAGTTAATGCAATAACAAATGCAGTGTTTTAGAGAAGGGACTGCCATCTCTTTAGCTCTCTTTATTATAAGTGCGTATGCTGGTAGTGTGAAGGTACAGAGGTAAAAAATAAATTGATAAGGAGAATAGAAAGGAACATTGTGATTTAAGTGCCGGTCACAGCCTCATTATGCTGGTGACACTGGTGTGTAAATTGCTGCACATGTCAGAGGTGAGCTTTATTGATGCAAGTGGAATTTGCAGTGTCTACTTCAGGATTTATGTTACGTAGAGTTTCCTGTATCTGGTAACAAAGAAATGAGAAAATAAGCCCTTTCTTGTTAATGAATTCAGTGAACATTATGTACTGTGTTTTATTTTTTATTTATTTATTTATTTTTAAAAGATTTTATTTATTTGACAGAGAGAGAGACAGCGAGAGCAGGAACACAAGCAGGGGGAGTGGGAGAGGGAGAAGCAGGCTTCCCGCCGAGCAGGGAGCCCGATGTGGGGCTCGATCCCAGGACCCTGGGATCATGACCTGAGCTGAAGGCAGACGCTTAACGACTGAGCCACCCAGGCGCCCTGTACTGTGTTTTAGACACTATCCATTTATTTATTCCTTCAGCCACCTAACCTATGAATAATTATTGGTGCCCTGCTAGGCACTGGGGCTACCACAGTTATCAGTACGTGTGTGTTTGCCCTCATGGAGTTCCATGTTAAGTGAATGAGAATCCCTCCCCCAAATAACATAATTAGATTATTACAAATAAGTGCTACTAATTACTCCTGGTGGATGTAATAAGCATAGTGAGACTAATTAGCAGGGTACCTAACTTAGTTCAGTACAGGGCTATAAATCTTGGGGGAGGGAGAGATTAGGGAGTTTTATTAGTTCTATCCAAATTTGCTTAACACACAAATACAAAGAGTACGACACAGTGCTTGATGTTAAGGTCAAGGCTTAATGCTTAAGATTGATAGACCTGGGGCGCCTGGGTGGCTCAGTCGGTTAAGCGACTGCCTTTGGCTCAGGTCATGATCCCAGGGTCCTGGGATCAAGTCCCACATTGGGCTCCCTGCTCTGCGGGGAGCCTGCTTCTCCCTCTCCCCCTCACCCTGCTGGTGTTCCCTCTCTCGCTGTGTCTCTCTCTGTCAAATAAATAAATAAAATCTTTAAAAAAAAAAAAAAAGATTGATAGACCTGTAAACACAACTCCAGCTGATGTCATCTGTTGCATCAGCCTATTTATTTTTGCAATGACATTTGTATAGGTTTGATTTCAAGAAGTATTTGAAATTTGAGCCTTGTTTGGTTAACAAATAGGGACGGAACTTTCTGAGACAGGTTGTCTTTGGCATCGTGAGACTTCTTTCATAGAGAAACGTTCTTTTGCTTTTCCTATTTAAATCTAATTGTAAATACAGCAGCTATATATAGCAATATAAATGTTGCTTATTTTTGCATGATGAAGTTTATCGATTGTTAGGTTCTTCATTAGCTATTTATGAAGTATTTATTTTGTGTATTGTTTTAATGTGATATAAAATGTGAAAATTTTTTTTTGAAGATTTTATTTATTTATTTGAGAGAGCGAGAATGAGAGAGAGTACATGAGAAGGGGGAGGGTTAGAGGGAGAAGCAGGCTCCTCGCCAAGCAGGGAGCCCGATGTGGGACTTGATCCTGGGACTCCAGGATCATGACCTGAGCCGAAGGCAGTTGCTTAACCAACTGAGCCACGAGCCACCCAGGCGCCCTAAAATGTGAAATTTGTACACAAAGGTGAGTCAGCATTGAGTAGAAACCTTCTCCTTCTATGATCCTGGGATGGGGTGATAATCCATGTTGTCAGTCTTGGAGACAGAAAAATCCCTTTTTATTGAAACTTCCTGTCGCCAGATACGATTTTTCTCTTTATGTTACAATTTGTAAAAAGCTTTTAAATTACTCTAATTTCTGCATATTTTCAGTACTTCTTATTGTCTTAGTTAATTTAAGTTTTAAACATTCCATGTTCTAATGCAGATATTAAAAATTGAATTGTTTAGCTTAAATCAAGAAGTATTACCTCCTTGGTTGTAATGCTGATCAGAAAATAGAATGTGTTTCTCCACTTGATTTAACATTTGTTCACTTTGGGGAAGAAGCGGATGGGTAAAATGTGGCCTTTGCGAGTAAGCCAGGCCAATCAGTGTGGCCCACCAACCAGGACTCGGGTCATCTGCACCACTGGGAACTTGTTAGAAATGCCTCACCTCACCTTTACTGAATAAGGTTTTATTTTAATAAGATTTCCAGGTGATATGTAGGTTCAGGTCTGAGGGGCAGTTCTTAGAGGGGCAGTTCTCAATTGGTGTGTGCATTGGAGTCCTCCAGAAGAGTGGAACCAATAGGATATATATAGATACATAGAAAGATTTATTATAAGGTATTCTATCAAGTGGAGGCTGAGAAGTCCCACAATCTTCCGTCTACAGGCGGGAGTCCCAGGGAATCCAGTGTGTAGTACCAGTCCAAATCCAAAGTCTTCAGAGGCCTGACAACCAGGGGCCAATGGCGTAGTCTTACTCTGAGGCCTGAGAACCAGGGAAGGAGAAGACAGATGCCCCAGTTTAATCCGGTGCACAAATTTGCCCTTCCTCTGCCTTTTGTTCTACTCAGGCCCTCCAGCACTGGGGAGGGGGGTCTTTCTTACTCAGCCTGATTCAAATGCTTATCTCTTCTGGAAACACCCTCACACCTAGAAATAATCAGCTGTCTGGGCATTCCTTAGCCCAGTCAAGTTGACACATAAAATTAACTTGTAGAATGAAAAGAAATCATTCAACAAAAACAGCTTATTAGACCCCATTATAGATCTACTCAATCAGAATCTCAAAGGAAGGGTCCCAGGAATGTTAGGTTTGAAAGTTTGCTGGATAATACTGACTGGTGTCGCCACTTGAGACCCACTGTTACCAAGAATTCACACCTAACTGTCTTGTAATACATCGTTTTGACATTGCTCTAAAGATTTATTTATTACCCTCAACTTGGCGTAAATTCTTGAATTCTTTTTTTTATTATTATGTTAATCACCATACATTACATCATTAGTTTTTGATGTAGTGCTCCATGATTCACTGTTTGCGTATAACATCGTATAACATCCAGTGCTCCATGCAGACCGTGCCCTCCTTAATACCCATCACCAGGCTAACCCATCCCCCCACCGCCCTCCCCTCTAGAACCGTCAGTTTGTTTCTCAGAGTCCATAGTCTCTCATGGTTCATCTCCCCTCTTGAATTCTTACTCTGCAGTTCAGAATCTAGTAAGCTATGGAAGTGATGACTTTTATGCCCTAATTTGCTCAGTTTAGTCTCACAGGTTACCTGTGTCCAGCC